TAGTGTATGTTTTAAGATTAATAAAGAATACCCCTACAGTAATATCTTTTTTTTTTTTCTTTTTTTGTGGTGTTGGGGATTGAACTCAGGGCCTTCTGCATGTGAGGCAAGCACTCTACCAACTGAGCTATAGTCCCAGCCCAGTAATGTCTTTAAAAAAATCCTTAAAAGAAAAAGCATGATCCTATTGCAATAAACATGCTACTCCCATGTTTTACAATATCTCAATGTCTTTGGTTATTTCAAGACGTATAAACAATTCTCAAAGCATCATCTATATTAATTCATTATGTGAAATGTGTTGCTACAAGATACCACTTTCAGAAGTTTTAGAATCTCAAATTTATTCAACAAACATTTCCTCAGCACTTATTACTCAGAACCAGGCACTATGCTAGGGAGAAAAGAGGAAAACATTGTCTTAGCCCTCTAAAATCTACCTCAATCTAGCAGAAAAAAAACCAGATACACAGCAGTCATTAGGATATGGATATGCCAGTAAATAAAAAAGTCCTGTGGAAGCATAAAGTGACAGTCTGTCTTCACCAAATAGGAGTCTGCAATAGGAGTATGGGGCGGGGTGAATTCCAGGAATATGTGTAGAGACATAAAAGGGACACAATGAGCTTTGGCACTGCGGTATGGTTAAAAATAGTAGGTCTGGGGGGAGTGGCAAGAGATAAGTTGGAAAGGTAAACTGGAGGTAGATTGTGAAAACCAAAAATCTAAGTGAAGAATCTGGTTTAGGATTCCCTATGCAGGTGGTTTTCAAAAGTGCAGTAACTACTGCTTCACCTGGGAGCTTGGTAGAAATGGAAATTCCTGGTTCCCACCTTAGACCTACTGAATCTGAAATTCTGGGAGTGAGGCCCAGGTATATGTGGGTTTTTTAAATTATTATTTTTAAAATTATTTTACTTAGTTGTACATGACAGCAGAATGCAATTCAATTCATTGTACACAAATGGAGCCCAGCATTTCAATTCTCTGGTTATATATGATGTAGAGACACATCATTCATGCAATCATATATATACCTAGGGTTATGATGTCCATCTCATCCCACCATCTTTCCTACCCTACTAATCCCCTGTCCATCCTCCCCTTCACCCAATCCAAAGTTCCTCCATTCTTGACATCTGTGTTTTTAGAGTCATCTAGTTGATTTTGATGCATACCAAACTTTGACAAACCACTGCTGTAGGCAATGAGGAAATATGAAGGACTTTTCTTTTTCTTTTTTTTTTTTTTTTGAAACAGGTCTTGCCAGTTGCTGAGGCTAGCTTTGAACTTATGATCCTCCTGCCTCAGCCTCCCAAATTGCTGTACACATGAACCACCACACCCTCTAAACGACTTTAAGGAGGTAACTGACCTGATAAGATCTGAAGTAGGATAGTGATTGCTATTGACCAATCAAGCACAACACGTGACTCCAGAGTAGTTACAATAAAAAATAAACAACTGTTGAATGAATGTGGCATGAAGAGATGATGAGGACCTAGACTAAGAGAGTAGGAATGTAAAGGAAAAAGACTTGAGAGATGCTTTAGAGCTCAGCCAAGTTTAATCAGGTGACTAGGACATATCAAATACAAAGGTGTCACTGAAATGGTTTTACATATAAAGCAGTTATCTTGTCAAATCTATCAACTGCCAGTTGAAAATAGTAGTTTTTTTCCACATAGCCTCTAAACAGAGGAGGTCATGAGCAATTTCTATGTGTTTCCACATAGTCTAGAACAAAGGTTGCTGTTTACTTGTACATGGGCCTTCTAGTTTGCTTAGTAGTTCTACTTCTCACTGTAAGTCAGTAACCTGGCATCCATGTTATCAGAAATCTTTTGTGAGTTTGGTTGATGTGAGTCAATCCCTGAGACTGATAGATAATTTCAGAACGTGATGACAAAATTAAATTTCAAACCTAGAAAAGCTAAAAAACACACACTGGCTCTGGTGATCTAACTACCAAAGTAGTATCAAGGTGAGACCCTGTTAAGCCTTTCTCCTTTAATTCAGAAAGAAGCTGAATTAAAGAGTGAAAGAATCAGACTTTGTAGTACACCCTGAAGGTCAAGAAAGTGAAGTGTTGCTGTTATTTCTAATTTGGGAGGCATGATTTAGCCGAGGCCATCTTCAATTTCCTGATGAAAAGCAAGAGAGGTACAGGTCAACCTATATGGCTAATTTATCTAATGAGAATTCTGCAGCGTACAATTTCTATTACCATTCTGAATACTTCCTGTTACTGGATGTTATTTAACTAATATTACTATCCTGGCTTATTAGACCAACTTATTTTGTCTAAAAGTAGTTCCCAATCAAAAACTGTACTCTTTTAGGGAATTTGAAAGCTATAGGGAACCTTAAAGATTAAAACAAACATTTATTACCAAAGATGAGGAAATCGAGGGCCTCAAAGAAGAAATCATTTACTATATTTACTGTAGGAAAAGATTCTCCAGAATACTACAAGGTGGCAAAACAAGATTCAAACCAACACTGGTAATTTGCTCCTTTGCGAACCTTTAGGAAAGAGTTAAAAGTCTCTTTCACTCAGCAGCTTGGGAGGCAGAGACAAGACCATAAGTTCAAAGCCAGCCTCAGAAACTTAGCAAGGCTATAAGCAACTCAGTGATACCTTGTCTCTCTCTCTTTTTTTAATATTTATTTTTTAGTTGAAGGTGGACACACAATATCTTTTATTTCTTTTTTATGTGATGTCGAGGATCGAACCCAGTGCCTCACGCATGCTAAGCAAGCACTCTACCACTGAGCCACAACCCCAGCCCTGAGACCCTGTCTCTTAATAAAATACAAAAAAGGGCTGGGGATGTGGCTCAATGATCCAGTGCCCCTGAGTTCAATCCCCAGTACCAAAAAAAGTCTGGGGCTGGGGTTGTGGCTCAGAGGTAAAGCACTTGCCTAGCATGCGTGAGGCACTGGGTTTGATCCTCAGCACCACATAAAAATAAACAAATAAAGATATTGTGTCCACCTATAACTAAAAAGTAAATTTAAAAACAGTCTATCTTCCATCTTAAATAAAAAAAAAAAAAACAGAAAAATGGTAGCAAATTACTTCTTCTATTGGGCTAGTAAGGAATGGTGTAACTTTTCTTTTTCTTTTTTTTTTTTTTGGTTTCTTAATTGTTTTTCTTTTAGGAAATGAAGTTAGATGTAAAATTACTCTGAAAAAAATTTTAATATAAAACATTGGGAAAGAACCATTTTAAAATTATAGCCCCGTATGGTGGCACACGCCTGTAATCCTAGCTCCTTGGGAGGCTGAGACAGGAGGATTTTGAGTTCAAAAACTAGCCACAGCAAAAATTGAGGAGCTGGGGCTGGGGTTGTGGCTCAGTGGTAGCGTGCTCACCTACCACGTGAGAGGCCCTGTGTTCGATCCTCAGCACAACATAAAAATAAATAAATAAAATAAAGTTATTGTGTCCAACTACAACTAAATGATAAACATTAAAACCAAAAAATCTGAGGAGGTAAGCAACTCAGTAAGACCCTGTCTCTAAAAAAAGTACAAAAAAATGGCTGGAGATGTGGCTTAGTGGTCGATAGCCCCTGAGTTAAATCCCCGGTAAAAAAAAAAAAAAAAAAAAAAAATTATATACCTATATTTTTTGTGTTTTTTGTTTGTTTGTTTTTTTCGGTGCTGGGGATTGAACCTGGGGCCTTGCACATGCTAAGCAAATGCTCTACCACTGAGCCACATCCCCTGCATAAACCATTTAAGGAAGAAATATGCATTCCTTCATATACTATTTGTTCTACTTTCTTTCTTTGCCTATGCAGAGGTAACTTTTTACTGAATACATCCCGTTACATTAATTATATATTACATGTAAAGCAAATCTATTCACAACTACCCCTTATAGATTTCAAAAATTCCCCAATTTAAAATATCCATTGTTGTTTTGAGAGTTCTAGAAATGCTTCAGTAACTAGTTCCATGTCTCATCCTGTCAGGGTATGTAGATGTCAGTAACTTGTGGGATACATTTGGCCCTGTTTCCTGTTTTCCAAAATTTCCCACATTTTATAGCAAATATATGTGTAATCTAAAAGTTGGTGTCCACCCCTCAGTCAATTTCCTGAATGTGATATTTTATAGGCAGAGATTTCTCAGAACTTAGAGGAAGCGAGGACAAGATTTTCATCAAGAATGCATTAAATCCCATGTGTGCCTTGCCCGAAAAAGTCTCCTTTTTTCTGGAATTTACATTTGAGAATGCATGCATGCTGAAAGAACAGGACTGCTTTCTAGGCAAAACCCAAAGAACCCGTTTTCACTTCATATTTGCCCCCTCCCTCCCAGCCATGAGATTCCTTGGATTGTAGTGAGACAGAAATGCCACATCGATCTGGAGAGGGCAGATGTCAGTTACATTCCCCAAAGGAGAAATGCGAGAGCATTGATTAAGGGGCTGGAGGGTTGGGAGGGGAGTAGTCCGTCCTCAGACTTCAGCTCCACCTGATTGGGCCCAGCCTCTCCAGCCCTCGTCCCCACACCGGCCCGCTCCATGTGAAACCAGTCATGTGAGCCTGTTTACAGCCGAGCAGCTGGTGCAACCATCAGGATCCGTGCGAAGGTCCAGGGAGGGGTAAAGGATACAGGCCACGCACCCCTGTCTTCCCCCACTCCATAATTCCAAGAAAGCATTCGCTTTCCTCCCCTGGCTCTCCATCCCACTTCCATCTGCCTTCAGGCAAACAGAGCAGAGCTGAAGCCATCCCGGGACGCCACGCTCCAGCTCCCCCCCCCATTTCCTTCCAGTAGCTCGCTGGGGGGACTGGTAGGCTGGAGGAAGGGCGAGGACAGTGTCACCCCGGACAGGGAGCCAACCTCCCTCCCCCAGCCCTCCTCGCAACGTCCGCCTAAGAGTTGTCCCTGGAGCTGCATCCCCGGGGCAACCGAACTCCACCGGGCAGGCACCCGGAGGCTCCCGAGACTGCCTTCGCCCGGGCAAGGGAGAGCCACATACCAGCTGGCCGGATCCTGCAACGAGGAGCCGCGAGCAGCGGGGACACTGACACTCAGAGACCGGGCAGTAAGGAGCCCCTCTGCCTCCTGCCCACCGCCCACCCGCATCCCGGCACCGCTGAGCCCCGCTGTCAGTCACCGCGCCAAGCCCAGGCTTTGGGTACGGGTTGTTCTTTTGGCGGGGGCTCTCGGCCACGTAACTTCTATGTTTTCCTGAAGTCGGAGGAAGTGGGTGACGGGACGGTGGGGGACTCTCACCTCGGCAACACCAGCTCCTCGGAAAACAGCTGCGACTGCTCCTTCACTCCTTTGTCAGCGTCTCCAGACTGCACTGCCTGCTGGGATACCGGAGGACTCAAATGCCACCTCTCCCCGCCCTCGAGGATGAGTCTGGCTGGAGGGTGGGTGGGAAGAGGGAGAGGAGGTGGAGTCGGGGGCGGGGCTTCGGTGTCGCCACCTGGTCTCTCGGGTTTCTTTCTTCTGCTTAAGACAAACTTCTTCTTTCTCGGTCCTCTAAGCTGCCTCTCCCTCCCTATCCCCTTGAGGCGACTAGAGACTCAGAAGGCCACCTCTCTTTGCACTAACTCCTGACCAGTCTCACTCCCCTCCTCCATCCCACACACACCCAGTGAATACTTAACCTAGTTGATTCTACCTCTGAGGCATGTCTTATTGACAGTTCCTCTTTCTCAACTCCATGGCAGAGTCCAGCACACAGACGGTGTTAAGACTTTTGCTTGGACTCTTTGACTTTCTGCTTGGACTGCTGCAGTAATCTCCTGTTTGGACTCTTCCACTCTTCCCTCTGTCTAAACCATCTCCCAAACAGCAGCAAGAGGGATCTAAGATAGATACAAAGATAGATGATAGATAGATAAATAGATAAATATCCCTGCCATTCTGCTTAACCCCTTTCAGTCTCAGCTGAACCTACAACCCTTTAGCATGGTACATAAGGCCTTTGGCAATCCTCTTCCGATGCACCCAATACTCCCATCAAATAAACTGGCCATCCATAAAATACAGTGGAACCTAGGACAACTCACCACTATTGGTTGCCCCAAATACTCCTTGAAAAGAGGCTACATTGTCACCAACTCCCATAGGCCTCTTGGGGTATTATTAAAGATAAAATTTTCAAATTTTAACTTTAATTTTGTTCAGAAATGAAGAGTAAGGTGCAATGGCTATGATCCCAGTCCACAACTATAAAGCCCAAAGAATTCTCTCTAGTTGTCCCAACCAAGCTATGACATGCCAGTAGATATCCCTTAGGCTCAGGCCTCTGATATCTTTGCTCAAAGATTTCCCTTACTCTATAATTGTCTTTATCTCTCTTTGGAATATGTACCCATCTTTCAAGTCCCCATGGAAATGCCATTTTTCTCCATAAACCTTCCAGAATTTTCCATGAGAATTATTAATTCCTGCTCTATCACCATAGAATATAGTTTATTCTGCTTTGCATTTCTTCCTAAGGTAATCACTAGTCATGTGTATGTCTTCCTTTCTCTCCTGCCTAGCCCATAGCTGCCCATACACTGCCTGATCCAGAAAAGACACTAAAACAATTTGATGAAATGAAATATTTCCACTTATCAGAAGCTCTAAGTAAGCCCAGAAAAGATTCTGGAAAGGGCCTCATATAACAACTACCTTCCCTTCACCAGCACATCTTCATCTTGACCTGGCCATGGGTTGCTTTTGCAAACACAAACTGGTTAGGCAGCAGAGCATTGCAAAAGGACTAACGCTTGTACTTCCCTTGCAGGTCAGACTGGTTTGTGGTACAATATGTGGTTGTGGGAAATGTAATTGGTATAGCTCATATAAGAATTGAGCATAGAAAAGTATATGATGCCCATGGAAAATAACTTAGTTTCCAAATGCAGATGTGTCTCCTTGATTTACGTGACATTTGACTCCTATTTGCTTCAGGCTACCCTTGGGCTCCACATCATTTCAAACCTTGCATGTTGTCTGTTATAAAACATTCTTTTTCAAAAGTGGGCATCTGTTATCTTTTAAGGTATATTTGCTTTCTCCTCAATTATATTACAAGATACACCATGGCAGGGTTTCCTCATCCCTAAAATAGGGACAAGAATCCTTGGCCAACACAGCTTACCAGGCTCTTAGGAGGCTTTAATATGATATTGTATATGGTATATGTGATAATGTAAACTACAGGATGCTTTTCCAACATGATTTCTGTTTTATTACATTTTAAATATTCTTGATATTCTACAACTTAGGCATGTGTGTTTCGGATTCAACCTTAGGAATTAACAGGCTTTATTGAAAATTCCTGGGGACAATGCTTTAGATCATGGTCTCCCAAATTTGCCTAAGGATAAGAATGATCTGGATCCCTTGTTAAAAACAGATTCACAGGGGCTGGGGATATAGCTCAGTTGGTAGAGTACTTGCCTCACATGCACAACACCCTGGGTTCAATCCCCAGCATATCACAAAAGGGGAAAAAAAAAACAGATTCATGGACCCTACCCCAGGCCTACTGAATATAACTTTCTAGGTGAAAGAGAAGATCAACAGTATAATTGAGAATGACACCAGGCAATTCTAATCCCAGATGATCGGGCAAGTCAGGGAAACTCTGCTATAACCAGTCATACACATACCAAAATGAAATTGTTTAGGACTCTGTGAAACACCTCTCAGGCAGGGAGAAAAGAAAACTGGAGCAGAACTTGGAAGGAGGAAGTTGTACCTGAGCAAAGCCTTCTTGAGATTCCGTGTCCTTGTTTCAAACTCTTAGAACCTGGCTCTATGAGCTACATGAGTTGCAACTAATCTAATTTAGCAGCTGAAGCCAAAATATTAAACAGAGTCTTTTACTGCCTCAACATAATTGTGATGTTCCAGAAATTCCTTAATGCCACAATGGCTTTAGACAACCAACACTCCCTTTAGATCCTTCTTTCTAGAGTTCTCCCAGCTCCTGCAGCAGACTTCTGTCATACCAGTTAAATATTATGCTGTTATTGCTTTCCTGTTTGTCTTTTAGGTGGTGAGGACTTGGTCTTATCCACCTTGGCATCTCCAAGGTTTTGCATTGTGCCTGACACATCATGGGTGGTTATGTTGAGTTGACCTTTGAAATTGTCTGTGCACTGACTACCTCACTTACTTGGACTGTGAGTTACTGGGGACCGACACAGTTCAGCTTTTTATCCTTTTGTCCTGGCCTCATGCCATTTACACCCCTTCCTTCAGGAAATATTTGTTGAGTAAATGCCCCCCCCCTTTTGATTAAATCTATGTTAACAACCTCTTTAGGAAAATTCAGAGTCCATTAGGTATTGGTTTTGGAAATCCTGGAATTAGGACTCAGTGAGAGCCTACTGTTTACATAGGTATGCCATTTCTGAACTGAGGTTATTTTGAGAAGAGCCTTTTGAGAAGAGTGGGGAATATTGCCTAGTTCTCCCATTATCCTGAGGCAATGGTTGGGGAATGGAAGAGGTGGCAAAACCAAGGTTGACTGCCATCAACATGTCAGCTGCATTCTCCTGCACCAACAATCCAGATACCTGGTCAATCCATCCATGAAGGCATGGAAGGCCAGACCTTTTGCGTTCAGACACATTGCATTGCTGCTCCATTTTGGTAGCCTTTGCCCAGAACTCCTATCCTGTTCATTTTTGCCATAGCTCATTTTGGGAAAGCTAAGGAATAGGAACCATAATTGCAGTCATTTTTGTGGCAGAGCAGAGAATAGAAATCGTTTTAATTGCCTGGGGTAATTTTTGCAAAAGTAGGAACCAATTTCTACCGCTCCACTCACTAACTGTACGACTGCCGGCAAATCCTTTCTTCCATTCATCTCTACAATGAGGTTGCTAGACCAGATTGAGTCTGTGGCAGACCTAGTCAGAAATTTCTGTTCAAGGCCTGATTCCCTGTCCAAATCAAACTACTGAGAAATTGTTCTGTATTTCTCATCCTCTCTACCTCATGATCCATATTATTTAAATTAAAACTACTAAGTGACCAGTCAAAAACAGGTACTGAACTTCCATGCTCCAGGAACTGGGGGTGGCCTCAGAGATTCCAGGAAGGGTCTATGACTTAGTGAGCCTGTGTCGGAGCCAAGGATCATTTTCACCATCTGATGTGGCAACCAGGGCACCTGTACTCTATGCACCTGTCAGGTTACAACACTGTTACACAAAGCTATCTAGTCACAATGCTAGAGAAAGTTGACCAAGACAAAAAAAAGGGTCTTAGGCACAGTATTAAGGGGAAAGAAAAGTCAGGAATTCCTTGTGACTGTTTGGAATGAGACATGTGAGGCAGTGTGGTTTACTAGAAGCAAAGTGGAATCATGAGCAATGGAAACTGGGCTAAGTTGCTTAACTTCTCTGAGATTCTTCATCTGTAAAACCTTTCATAGGGTGGCCTGAAAATAGGAAATAATGCATGTTTGTAAAGACTAGAACATGGAAAGCACTCCATACGTGCTAATTAGTTTTATGAAGAATCTGGGGGAAGAATGAGAAGGTAACAAAAGGTCAAGTCCACCGAGATTAATCAACTTTGTTGTAAAAATTCAAGAGGAGGCTGTGTGTAGTGATGGGGCTAAATGGGATGTCTTTGTACCTTCCTCTCAATTTTGCTGTGAACCTAAAACTACTAAGAAAATAAAGTCTTTAAAGAAAACATCAAGAGGATTCCATACTGTCTAAATAACATTATAGCCTAAATACTGGCTTGGGTTACCTCCAATTCCAACTCATATCTCAGCACCCTACAGGGGATTTTCAGGCTGTACTTCCTCATATTTCAGAGCCTCCTTGCTTGCAGATATTTGTGCATGACATTTTGGTTCTTCTCTGCATTTAACTCCAACAAGTTTTGCCATTTTCCACAAGAAATTCAGACACACTCAGCATTTTCTAAAATTGATAACTTCATTGCAATTTTTAAGGATGGGGGGTGGTCACACATTGTTCCTCAAGTACATTTATTTTTTTTATTTTTTTTTTAAAGAGAGAGTGAGAGAGGGGAGAGAGAGAGAGAGAATTTTTTTTTAATGTTTTTTATTTTTTTTTAGTTCTCTGTGGACACAACATCTTGTTGTGTATGTGGTGCTGAGGATCGAACCCGGGCCGCACGCATGCCAGACGAGCGCACTACCACTTGAGCCACATCCCCAGCCCTCAAGTACATTTATAATATTTTTCTGTTCCCTACCCCTTTCACTCTGTTCCTTTTCAAA